GACATTTGTAAAAAGGCTAGATTATTGTGAATTCTGTTAATTTATGCATTTATAGAAAGGCTAGATTTTTGTGATTCTGTTAATTTAGGCATTTATAGAAAGGCTAGATTATTATGGATTCTGTTAATTTAGGACATTTATAGAAAGGCTAGATTATTGTGGATTTTGTTAATTTAGGCATTTATAGAAAGGCTAGAGTATTGTAGATTTTGTTAATTTAGGCATTTATAGAAAAGCTAGATTATTGTGGATTTTGTTAATTTAGGCATTTATAGAAAGGCTAGATTATTGTGGATTCTGTTGAGTAGTTTACTACTAACCGCTATGTTCTGTCTAGCTTTGGACGTTGCCTCGAAAACAGGCACAAGACAGGAGAGACGACAGGAAATTGTTCAACGTGTCAACACATTGCTTAAAACTTTCTTTAATGTAATGGTAATGTATGTTTGAAAGTTTTACTACTCAGTGGTTTGCTGATTATCAAATATTTTATGTATGAAATTAATTATTTAACTTTGCAACAGTATATCCACCAAGTTACATATTTTACAGGATTAAATGCTTCCGTTGATGGCAAATAACGTACGAAAGTGATTATTTGATTGCGATATTGGCTGTCGGTCTGTGAATCGGAGGGTCCGGAATACCAGACGTAATGCAGTGAATACATTCAGGATCTTCAAATGTGGGGGCGTTGTGAAAAATGACAGTCAATCTCGTTATTCGGTCCACAGAGCTAAACAAAGCCTATGTGGCGGAAGGTGCTACTGACTATCTACCTTCCCTCTGGTTAGTAGTTCAAAATTACGAACGACTATACCGTGACACTAAGAATCGTTATCCAGGCCAAAGAGCCCATCTGCAGATAAGGTGATGTTTAAATTTGAAATTTAAATTTTTCGCTGGTTAGTCAAGTAACAAAAGAGCTACGTATTTCGAACACTGCGCAGTTTACTCTTAGCAATTAATGGTAATTTTTACAAAATTTCAGGAAGTTTCTGCTTATAAACAAGCGAACGCCAAATGACCAACCCGTTATACACTTTATGTGTGTTTACTTCGAAGCTGCCTTAATTTGTATCTCTACAATGTATACTTTGTTTGAGTACTTTCCACATAATTATTATAACTGATTCTTACTAAAAGATTCGTGCTGACAATACCAGATTACAGAATGGGCAAAGAAAACGGATTTTCTTTTCTCTGCTATGGTATATTACAGTATATTTTGATAACGTTTTAAACCTATCCAATAATGATATAATAACGGTTACTTTTTCATCACGTGCTTGAGACGCGAGCACGTTAAGCAAACAAATTAGCTATCTGCCAAGTTCTATAAACTACTAGAAGTTACAACAAATTCAGTGCGGAATTTATAAGTTGACGTAATAAATGTGTAATCATGTAAAATTCCATCCTTAAAAGCAAATGCAGCGATAACCCTCAAACTTAAGGTGATTAAAACGAGGATTTACCCTGCAAGATTTTAGATTTTCAAATGATTTCTTTCAAAAGGCTTACTTAATTCATATAAAAATTGGTTTGGGCAAGAGCATACATTCAGACAGAATACAAACATCTGGGCATGAGTATGTTCTCAGACAGACTACAAACAGGGGGTAAGAGTACAAAGACACACAAACACTAGGGCAGAGAATATACTCAGGTAGGCATACAAACAGAAGGGCATGAGTACAAAAACAAACGTATAAACATTTTTTTGTTATTTGAATTTCGCGCAAAGCTACACGAGGACTATCTGCGCTAGCCGACCCTAATTTAGCACTAAAAGACTA